GTCAGGCTGGAGACTAAGGTGCGCCTGATCCGGGCCATAGTCTTCACAATTACGTGCTATGCATCGGAGAGTTGGACAGTGACTCGGGATGATAGAAAGAGAATTGATGCCTTTGAGCTGTGGTTCTGGAGAAGAGTGTTGAATATACCATGGACTGTTAGGAGAACAAAGATTTGTCCTGGAGAGGGTGAAGGCAGAATGCTCCTTGAAGTCAAGGATTCTGAAGCTTCATCTGACATACTTTGGGCATGTTGCAAGGAGGGACTGGTCCTTGGAGAGGACATCATGTTTGGGAGAGTGGAGGGATGGCGCAGGAGAGGAAGACCCTTGATGAGATGGATCAATTCTGTGAGTGGAGTGGTGGGAATGAGTGTGTTTGAGACGGTGAGGGTGGCACAGGATAGAGCAGCATTTAGGGCTCTTGTACATAAGGTCACTATGAATGGCAAGTGACTTGACCACACATAACGACAGAGAACTGCCGGAAGTGCAGGCTGGATTTCGAAGGAGATGTGGTACTAGGGATATTGTAGCTAATGTTAGATGGATCTTGGCTGAAAGCGGGGAGTACCAGAGGAATGTCTATCTGTGCTTCATTGACTATGCAAAGGTGTTTGACTTGTGTGGACCCCAACAAACTGGCTGACTCTGCGAAGAATGGGAATCTCAGAACATTTGACCATGCTTATGCGAAATCTATACTTGAGCCAGGAAGCAGTCATCAGAACTGAGCAAGGAAACACTGCATGGTTCAAAATAAGGAAGGGTGTACGCCAGGGATGTGTCCTATCTCCATACCTTTAAATCTATATGCAGAACAAATTTTATCGAGGAGGCTGGGCTCTCTGAGAAGTGTGGCATTAGGATTGGAGGAAGACTCATCAACAATCTGCATTACGCAGATGACATAACCTTGCTTGCTGAAACTAAGGAAGACCTGAAGCACTTTCTGCAGAAGGTCAAGGACTGCAGCCTTCAATATCTATTGAAGCTTAATATCAAGAATACAAAGATTCTCTCCACTGGGCCAATTGGGAGCGTCATGATGGATGGTGAAGAGATTGAGATTTTTGACAGCTTCAGTTTGCTTGGCTCCACAATCAACACTCTTGGCATCAGCAGCCAGGAAATTAAAAGATGTATTGCAGTGGAAAGTCTGCTGTGAGGGACCTCTCAAGAACACTGAAGAGCAACAATGTCAGTCTGGAGAGTAAGGTATGCCTGATATAGGCCATGGTCCTTGCAATTACTTACTATGCATCAGAGACCTGGACAATGCCCAGGGATGACTGAAGGAGAACTGATGCCTTTGAGCTGTGGTGTTGGAGATTATTTAACATACCATAGACTGCTAAAAGAATGAACTGGTTCGTCCTTTAGAGGGTTAAACCAGGCTGTGCCTTGGAGGCAAGGATTCTGAGGCTTTGTCTGACATATTTTGGACATGTTGCAGGGTGGGATCAGTCCTTGGAGAGGGATGTCATGCTCCTGAGGGTGGAGGGACAGCGTAAGAGAGGAAGACCCTCTATGAGATGGATTGATTCAGTGACTAGGGTAATTGGGGGTAGATGTGTCAGAGACAGTAAGATTGTCACAGGATAGAGCAGGGTTTAGGGCTCTTATACATAGGATCACTATGAGTTGCAAGTGACTCGATGGCACACAACAACAACAACAACAGCATCGTTAAATGCATACAAAAGGCCAGGTCTGGGCCTTATTACCCTTTGCATCCCTGATCCTGGCACAGATGAGTGACGGGTTCAAGCCCTACCATGCAATCATCAACATCAAGGCCTTGGCCTCCCAAGACCTCGGGTGTGTGTGTGTGTGTGTGTGTAAGGAACTGGACCTCCTCTGTGTGAGGGAAGGCCAGCAGTGGAAAGAACAAAGCCGGGAGAGGTGACTCAGTTTACCCACGGTGATGTCTCTCTCAGGCCTGAGGAAGAGAAGGGAAAACATTGACCAAGGTGACACACAAACAATAGATAGACATAGGCACTTAAACCTTATTTCCATTCCCTCCTAAACACGTCGGGGACACATTTGCTGTGTTCCAAATAATTTACTATTTCCCATGGCTCCTGAAAGCATGGAATTGTTTCCTTTTCACGAGCTCTGCTAAGTCACAAAATGTCTTGTTCACCGCTGTCTCTGGCACGCAGGTGATGCTGAGGGAGCCACTGTCTGCCCTGCGGTTCTTCCCCGCTGAAAGCGAAGGTGATGAAACCCCACCTTAGATAACGGGATTGGGCGCGGCCTCCTACCCTGTAATTTGGATCTCCAGGAATTGCCTTTGTTGTGGGCGACCAGCCACAGGCACAGCCAGCACCTGCTCCTCCGGCCTTTCCTAGTTCCACGCTGTCCAGTGGGCTGCCTTCCTCTCCTCTTTTCCGGAGTTAGGGGCCCCGCGGTGCCCGGGGCTCACAGTCAGGCTCGGCTGGGGCGCTCCCCGGCGGTGGTGGCGCGGTCCCCCGATGCTCCACAACCCGCCTGAGTCAGGGTCCTGCGCTGCCCCGGGCCAGGCAGCGGTCTGGGGCTGCGTCCAAGGCCTCGTAAGACACCTCCGGGCCTGCGGGGCCAGAAAACTGGGACCTGGCTGTGCATGCCCATCCACCAGGTTCTAACCCGGGGGCCACCTCGTCTTGTTGCGTCGGGCCCCGGCGGAACCCCCTGTTCCGGCCGAGGCTCTGCAGCCCCAGCCCCCGGCGGGTTCCCCAGCCTCGCCTGCCCGCCCCTTCACTGGAGCTCCCGCGGGAGGGGGCGCGGCCGCCCCCGCGGCTCCACCCTCTCGGCGGGGCGCCGCCAGCTGGGGCCCCAGCCAGGCGCGTCGGCTCCGGGGCCAGCGCCGAGGCAGGAGGGTGCCGGCCGTGGCAGGGACTCGGCCTCCGCGGCGCGACCCCGGGCGCTCCCGTGCCTGCGCGGTGCGGGGAGCGGGGCGCGGAGATGCCCCGAGGGGGCGGTGGCCGCGCGCCGAGCCTGGGTGGAAGCGTGTCGCCGTGGAAGCCGGAGTCCCAGGCCACCTCCGCGACCCTTGGGGAGCAGAGACTGGAGCCCTGGGGACGGTGGTGCGGGCCGGCGAGGGCAAGGAGGTCCGCACTCCTGGAAGCCGCAGCGGGCGCGGGCTTCGGTGCCTCGGCCGGGCTCGGCGCCTCGCAACTCTCCCCCCGAGCCCCCCGCGAGCTGGCAGGAGGAAATAGCGCGCGGCCCCTTTAAATTTACCCAGGAGCCCTTAAAGGA